CCTCCTCCTCCTCTTCTCCTCCTCCTCCTTCTCCTCCTCCTCCTCCTCCTCTTCTCCTCCCCCTCCCCTTCCTCCTCTTCTTCTTCTACTTCTCCTCCTCCTCTCCCTCCTCCTCCTCCTTCCTCTTCTTTTCAGACTTTGGAAATGCCAAAGCCAATGAAAACGTCTTCCTGCAAGCCATGAGCGTCGTGTGGTTCCGCTATCACAACCACTGGGCAGAACAGCTGGCCAAGCAGAACACGAACTGGTCAGATGAGGATCTATTCCAACATGCACGCAAGAGAGTCATCGCCACTTACCAGGTAGGCAGAGCATGGAAGAGACGGGGGGGGGGGAATAAATAAACTCGTGTTTAGCTTCTTGAGTAACCAGCTTATTTCCAAGCATTTCATGATCTTCTCATTGTTCTCCTAGAACATCGTGTTTTATCAGTGGCTGCCAAGCGTTTTGGGGAATACAAGCATCAAAAATTATGAAGGTGAGGAACAGCAGCAGAACAGAACAGATGCCAAATGGAAAAGGACAAAAGATTTTCAGCAGATGCACGATGGAGAAGGAAGATCAAGGAGATTCTTGTGGCTATAAAGAACTGCCTCAGTCACCTTGGTCTCGATTTTATAGCTTTATGTAAAGAAGACGGGAATCCATTATCATTTCTGTATTGACAGCCCTCTAGAACAGTGGTTCTCAACCTTCCCAATGCCGCAACCCTTTAATACAGTTCCTCATGTTGTAGTGACCCCCAACCATAAAACTGGTGCCTCGGTTCCTAAGACCATCGAAAATATGTGTTTCCCAAAGGGGTCCCGACCCACGGATTGAGAACCACAGCGCAATATTTTCCCTTTATAGAGGAACGCTAAAGTGCATTTGCATTCTAAGTTCTTCCGTTTTGAAACTCAAAATATCGCAGGGAGTTTCAAGGCCCTCCCTTCTCTACACCCTTTTAGCTTTGCTGAAATCCTTCTGGGAAATACCTCTTGTCATCTCATGCATCCCTCTCTGTGTTTTAGGTTACAAGCAGCATGTAGATTCTCGCATCTCTACAGAATTCCTTGTGGCTTCTGCACTCTTCCTTGGCACGAAAGTCCCATCTGGGGTCTATATGAGGTAGGAAAAGTGGGGTTTTTACATAATAATAATAATAATAAAACAACAACAAGAACAACAACCTGGAGATGCACGAATTGAAGATAAACAGCAAGAAAAAAAATCACAAAGTCCC